CGATGACGTCACAAGTCACTCCAGTTGTTATCACCCGTGTTTGACCGCCGCGTGTGTGTGTTTTTGTATATGCGTGTGTGTATGTGTGACTGTGCGTTTGTACGTGTGCGTTTCTGTGCTTGTGTGTGTGTGTGTGTGCTATACCGCATCGCTCACATTCCACTGTGGTCAAGTCTAAGAGATAAACAAGATTGTGGAGGGAGGGTGGGGGATTTTCTGGGTGGGGTGGGGGTGGGAATGCCAGGGGTGTCTGGGTAGTAGGCCTACCCAGGCTAATTATACACTTAACGATTTTGGGGATTTGAACTTTATATCCAAATGTATGAACATGACCATAACGCCGATGACACATCTTCATTAACACGATTAGAGCGTAGGTCTTCGTCTGATTGAAAAAAAAATGTAAAACAAAATTCAGCGAAGTACAAGTAGTACCGTTGATATCATCACATTCAAAGCACCAAGTGTTACTATTTTTTTTTTATATAACTTCTTAACGTTTTTAATTTGGTTTAAGTATAGAATCTATATGTAACTTAAGATTTCAATTCATTCCTAAGTTTTTCTATTATGCGTCGTTTTTGGCAAAATAAATATTTTTTCGATAGTAAAATATTTTGAAAGAATAAACACGTTTTAAAATTTCATGATGACTAATTAGTGTTTTGAACAACGAGGAAAGAGGTTAGGGTGTAGGAAGAGGAAATGTGAAATTTGTATTTTATATTTAGACAATTTCAGTTTAATTTTTGCGTCATCTTTCCACGATTTTAATTTTTATGTAACTTATCTTTTATTGTTTACTAACATAGTGATATTTATTTAACTAACTATATGTCCTCTAAGTTATACGTTGCTTAGTACTTTCCAAAGAACTAGTTGTATGTTATTTAGTTCTATCTCACAGAAGTACAGAACTAGTCATGTGTTATTGAAATACTCTATCACGTACACATCAGAACTAAACGTATATTGTTCAATGCTATCATATAGAAGTACACAACTTGTATGGCGATGACATAGTAGTGTAGAGCTAGACGTATGTTGATAACTCGTGTCACATATAGTACTAGAGCCTAGAAGATAACACATCAGCTACACCAAATCTTACGTCATCTACCCCGCCCTATCTACACATTTAAATACACCTACGTCATCGCGTAGTTTATTCTACAGGCCTTCGTGAAGCTTTCTTTTATCGTAGGATGGTATGCTATATACAACCGTATTTCTGAACATACCGTTATTGTTTTCTTTTATATATATAATATAATATATATATATATATATATATATATATATATATATATATATATATATATATATATATATATATATATATATATATATATATTAAAGTGGAGACCTTGAATTATACAGGCTATTCACTTAGGAGACCTCTAATTTCCAATGACTTCAATAAAACAATAAAATCTAAATTTTACGAGGCTAAATTAGCATTTTATGACGATACATTTATTGGGCACGGTGTATACGAACAAAGATAGTGTAGGTGGGTGTGTGTGTGGGGGGGGGGGACGACAGCACCCCACCTGGTGGGTGTGTCCGTGTACAGATGAGCTGAGTTTAAGACCAGGCAAGGGTGGTGACCTATGTAACGGGGGGGGGGTGTGATGAGTGTTAGAGCATACTTAATTGCACCCCCTCCCCACGAACCAGCATATATATACTATCTCCAAGCCCAATACTGGTAGTGAGAGATAGTCTTTTACTACTGCCGAATACACGCTATTTAACCGGGCCAGTGCCGAGATAACTAATGGGCTGATTTGGTAGGCACCAAAGGGCCCCCGCGGATAAAATGACATATAAAGAATTTAATTACATTTATTTACAGTTATATTTTGATTGCTGCGCTTTAAAATAAAGAATATAATATACATTATTTTTACAACAACCAAGTAGTAACCAAGTAACCAAATGAAAAACCAAATATAAAGGCAATTTTAATATTATTTTCAAAGAAATATTTTTCAGAAGATTACGTAGCATTACGTCAGCAATTTTGAGGAGAATTTGAATTAAAAACAATTGTTATAGTTTTGTTTCTAAATATTGGGTTTTATGTCACCGTTTTTGTCGAGATGGGTGAGGTGTGTGTGGGGGTGGGGTGAGGGGGGGGGGGGGTAGGGAAGGGATGATTTGACATTATTTTGGCTTAAGAAAACTTTATGTTCATTACACTATTATCCGCCAGTTTGAATGTTAGTTTCAACAGTTTTTCTGAAACTTTTAGAGTTAAAAATACTTTACATAAACAAGTGAAACACATTCTTCTATTTTTTTTCCTCATACCGTCTATAGCTCTGTTATAATAGGTATTTATTTAAAATGTTCAAAATATTTGCGATGCTGACTTATGTAAACACGATTCTCAAAGTATTTCAATTATGAAATAAATGACCTCAACTCTTAAACGTTTTATTTTCAAAATGGTCTTTTTTTTTTTTTTTTGCTATCGTCATTGGCTTATGTAGTTGTATCTTTTTTCTGCTTCGTCATTCTCATTCTTAAGGCTTAGAAAAAAAAAATAAGAAAAAGGGGGACCAATTTTTTTTTTTTTGTTTTTATTCGTACCTGGCTAGACAATGGGCAGGTAAGACACAAAGCTTGACACCAGTGCCTCATTGACTGGACAGAGTTTGTGTCAACATTGATTAGTCAAGGCGGTCACGTGACGCGACTATAGACCCCCAGCCAACGGTTAGGTCGGATGAGGGTAACGATAGAATGCGAGAGGAATTGTGTTGGCTGAGCTATACACAGGTAGAAAGAGATAGGGTTAAACTGTAGGCTAGAAGAAAGAGATTAACTATAGAAAGAAAGAAAGGTAGATTTAGAATTCACTGTAGACAGAAAGGAAACGTAGATTTAGAATTCACTATAGACAGAAAGGAAATAAAGAAGTAGAATTATCTAAAGACTGACATAAATGAGAAAAAGAAATAAAGAGACTTAACTAAAGAAATGAAGTTAAAGTGCAGTTTATGTTCAACTTCTGAGTGTGATTTCATTTTTTAAACTACCAACCACGGTTGTACGTCGCAAATATTTTTTTGCGTTGTAGATTACAGTAAAAGATGTTAATAAAAATCATTATATCACTATTATTGTATCCGTATATATTTTTACTATTATTGTATCCGTATATATTTTTACTATTATTGTATCCGTATATATTTTTATTATTATTGTATCCGTATATATTTTTACTATTATTGTATCCGTATATATTTTTAAGCTAATGTTGACCATCGTATCGAATCGAAGTTCGTGTATGTATTGCTATATTATAACCTAGGGTTCAAAGGTTATGGCTTGAAATAGGACTAAGACTAGAGCTATAGGTAGTTTAACTAGTTAAACAGATCGACTCCAGAGTAACTTATTGTAAAATCATTATGTACTCAGTTAAGTATCAATATTTTATTAGTAATTTATGAACATTACTTCCTTAACCATTTTTTTTTCAAAATTATGATTTTATTTTAAATTTTATCCATCTTATTTTTTAAGAGTATTGTAATATGTCAATTATAATTATATCAACATATCAACTGTTTTATATAAGTAAAGATGATACATGATGTTACACACAACGCCAACATTACGATACAACATCGCCAACTGTGGTACAACAGCACACATCCAACACGTTTACTCCAAACTTAGAAGGTGGATTAATTAATTAGGTTAAGCCTCGGGTCACGCCAGCCTCCTTAAGATATATTTGATTAGCAAATATTTTGATAACACAAGTACGGTAGGCTACTGTAGGGGACTGGGCGAGACTACACACGAGATTTGACGAGATGGGGCAGGTAGATGTACACACTTTGACGCGTGTCATAAAACTACTGTGTTAATAATTAGCTTAATCACTGGACGTTTATAATTTGCGTTGGAAATAAAGTAATTTATAACAAAATAATTTAAATACTTTTTAATTCAGTATGAAATGTATGAAAAACAATTTGAACTTTTACATTATAATTTTTTTTCGTTAAACTACTATCGCCAAATTTAATACTATATGACAAACATGTACATATTTAACTTCACATATATACATATTTTCTACGAAGACCTGAAACCGATATGTAATTCTCAGTAGCTAATATAACCATCAGTACGTTGCGTAAAAATCAACGTTTTTTTTAATATGTGGAATTATTTTTTTCTCTTATGACAAACTTTGATCACCCTCCCCCTTTTCGTTTGTAAGCTGACCATCTATCTATTCGATGTCCACTTAAATTATCTTATTTCTCCTTCTTTGTCTTTTTCCAATCCAGTAAACTGGCCCTACCGATCCAGTTACACGTATTTCACATTTGTCTATTTCCCAGCAGGTAAATTGACCACAACTGACCTCTTATTATAACTTTTGTCTCCTTCCCAGCTGGTAAACTGACTATCACCATAACTGACCACTAATACCCATATAACCTTTGTCTCTTCCTCCAGCCGGTAAACTGACCATCACTGACCACTCATTATCATTTTTGTCTCCTCCCCCAGCCGGTAAACTGACCACGACCACTGATACCCATATAACCTCTGTCTCCTCCCCAGCCGGTAAACTGACCACAACTGACCACTAATACCCATATAACTTTTGTCTCCTCCCCCTGCCGGTAAACTGACCACGACCACTGACCACTGATACCCATATAACCTTTGTCTCTTCCCCCAGCCGGTAAACTGACCACAACTGACCACTTATTATTTTTCTCTCCTCCCCAGGCGGTAAACTGACCATCACCACAACTGACCACTGATACCCATAACACTTTTGTCTCTTATCCAGCCAGTAAACTGACCACAACTGACCACTTATTATAACTTTTCTCTCCTCCCCAGCCGGTAAACTGACCACAACTGACCACTTATTATAACTTTTCTCTCCTCCCCAGCCGGTAAACTGACCACAACTGACCACAACTGACCACTTATTATAACCTTTCTCTCCTCCCCAGGCGGTAAACTGACCATCACCACGGTGTCCACACCTACCCCGTCGCTGTACCCAGGCTGTGTGGACGTGGCTGGGGGACACACAGACAGACTCGGCAACATGCTCACGTCCAAGCCACCCCAGTACGACACGATAGGATCAGGTGAGCACCGCCTTAATGTTTTTCTTACATTTATTATTGGTACAAATGGCATCCAACAGTTTAGTAAGACTAGAGTAAGCCATCCCAATACGACACGATAGGATCAGGTGAGCACCGTCTTAATGTTTTTTCCAACATTTAATATTGGTACAAATAGTATGCAACGGTTAACTGAAACTAGTGTGGAACAAAGATATAACATTAAGGCGTATGACAGTATTGCCTATGACATTAGGACCTATCTCAGAAGGGCCCTATATGGTATATAAATGTAGATGGTATTAGAGTTGGGGCTATGCTATTAGGACCTATAAAAGTAGGGCCTATGACAATATGGCCTACGACAACAGAGCCTATAGGGTCTATAAAAGTAGATTGAATAAGAGTAGGGCCTGTGACAGTAGGGCTTATGGCAGTAGTCCCTACAGTGTCTCTAAACGTAGATGGCATTAGAGTAAGGGCTTTGACAGTAGGGCTTATAGGCTCTATAAAAGTAAAGAATATAAACGTAGGAGCTTTGACATTTAGGCCTATGACAGTAGGGCCTATGGCTTAGGGCCTACATTGTCTATAATAGTAGGTACAACAACAGCTGTGCCTTTATAATAGTAGGAGTTAGGGCTATGGCAGTAGGGTCTGTAGCTCAAAAGTATGTGGCCCATGTAAAAAAAAAATTAGATAGTAAAGTAAGGTGAATAAAACCTTATCAGATAATGCACTAACTATTTTGTTCCTGTATGTACTTCTTGTAAAATAAAAAAACATTTTTTTTCTTCCAGGAATCGGCGGCGGTATCGGGTCCGGCGGGTACCCCAGCAGCATGAACTCAATGGGACCCTCCATGTCCCCTATGCCCTCCGCCATGTCCGCCATAGGCGGCGGCATGAGCTACCCACAACAGACCATGAGCAGCATGGGCATGGGAGGGATGACCTCCATGAGCATGGGACCCATGGGAGGCATGGGCGGCATGTCCGCGATGGGAGGGTACGGCTCCATGTCCATGAACACCATGGGAGGGATGAACGGGATGTCGGCGATGGGAGGGATGACCTCCATGGGCGGGATGAACCGCTCGATCGACCCCAGCTTGATGTCCAACGGGGCGTTGAACCGCCCCCGCAATGATAAAACGTACAGGCGGGCGTACACCCACGCTAAACCTCCGTACTCGTATATTTCGCTGATCACCATGGCGATACAGCAGTCGACCAATAAGATGTGCACGCTGAGCGAGATTTACCAGTTCATCATGGATTTGTTCCCATTTTACCGACAGAACCAACAGAGATGGCAAAACTCCATACGACACAGCTTGTCTTTCAATGACTGTTTCGTCAAAGTCCCCCGCACCCCCGACCGCCCGGGGAAGGGGAGCTACTGGGCCTTGCATCCCGACTCCGGGAATATGTTCGAAAACGGATGCTACCTGAGACGGCAGAAGAGATTCAAATGCCCGAAAAAAGAAATGATTCGCCAAACATCGAATTCGGATCGGAGTCATGATGATTCGGGGATGCATCCAGATGATAGCTTGCAGTCTGGGGACGACCACAGCCCGTTGAGTTCTCCCATCCCCGGGGGTCACCCCCACCACGGGCAGACCCACGCCGCGCCGCATACGCCGCCCCGGCCACAGGACCACCACCAGCCGTCGCACCAGCAGCACCATCAGCAGTCCCAGCACAACCAGAGCACGGCGCCCATCCAGCCTAAATCCGAAATCATGAACAACGCCTCCCCCCACCCCCAGGAGATGTCGCACCCCCCTCCCGCCCAGAGCCTCCCCCCTCAGGTCTCCTGTCACACGCCGCTCACCTCACAGACGCTCTCCTCCTACCACCACAACTCCCCCGCTGCCGATCTCTCCAACCTGCGATCTCTCAACCCCCAGGACTACGGGCAGCTCACCCCCCAGCCCCTGGGGCTCCACTACTCCGCCGCGCACTACGGGCACCACCCGCACCATCACCACCACCAAGGCGGGCTCCACCAGCTGAACCCGAACCACTCCTTCAACCACCCCTTCTCCATCAACAACCTCATGTCGGAGAGTAAACTCGACATGAAGACAATGTACGACATGGGCTACGGCGCCTACACCCAAATGTCTCCCCTAACAATGGCCAAAGATTCCTCCCCACCCGTCATGGCTAACCACCATGACCCCAGCGGTTACTACAAGGCGTACCAGTCGACCGTGGACTTATGACATCCGGCCACCCCACGGACCGCCAGTCCCCCCAAGTACGACGCCTACAACGGCCGTGGGTACCAGAACAATTTCTACACCACACAGAACTCGCCCTATTCGTCCCAGCCGGTCCGTGACACGTGATTTTGATCACGTGATCTGTCATAAAAAAACAACAACAACAACTTTAAACTAAAAACTTGAACTTTGTTCACAACGAGTCAATTTTTCAAACTCATGCCTCTATTCGCTACTACTCAAACTCTACCACAATGGTAATTGTGCATAAAAAAAAAACTTACTTTTTTCAAAACTTTCTTGCTACAATTAACCGTAGCACCAAACCTGTTAACTCTTTGTACACAGTACACTTCTCTAACGTGTACAGTACTCTACTCTGGAATCTAAGACTTTTTGTGATATCATTCCTCAGTCATCACAAGACCTCGCCACTTACAAGAAGTGACTCGTGACCACTCATCCATGACAAACAATTTAAAACAAAAAAACCTTGAAACCCTGAAGGTCACATCTCAAGGCTATTCGGGTAAAAATAGCTTTAACCATCCAAAGATTTATTATTATTATTATTAATATTTTTATTCTAATTATTATTTTCGTGTTGAATTGAAATCCTATTTTATTATCTTGCTTTACTGCCAAATAGAAGAGACTTAAGGTCGCTTGTACATATATATAAAAAAATAAATCTCGCACTTGTGTGTTGGTCAGTGCGTGTGCGTACTTGTGCGTGTGTGCGTATTGTTGATCTGTTGTGTGAACACCTAAATTATAATTCTTCGGGCTGATCTCGAGGGAGTTTTTTTTTTTTTTTAAATGTCCCGCCTTTGAAATGTACACCCAATCTTGCAATTGTTGTTAAAATGCTACATTAGAAAGATTTACCATTTTAAACGGAAACCGGTTTTTTTTTTGTACGTGCCGGGGTAAGCGACTCGTTATTTATACGTCAACATGTTTGTACATTTAATACAAAATTTGAAAGTTGGTTAACATGTTTTTAGCAAAGAACCCCCCCCCCCCTCATCCCATCTGAGTCATATCGTGTATCATATATTGTATATATAAAGATAACCTGGTACGCTCTATGAAAGATAATTAAATTAACTTATAGGACTAAAAACACTAAAGTTAAACAATTACGGTTCAAATATTGAACTTTGCAGCCTCCCCCCCCCCAACCAATTAAAACATACAGACTGAATTTTCATATCTCCAGAACGTATTTACACCACTTTTCAAAAGAAGACGCTATTTACACGATAACCGTATACAATCGTTTACGCTGCAACGATTTAGTTGTTCAGAGCATTTTTCATTTACGCAAAATATCCCAAAAAATAATTTTTCAATTAAATTTATATAATTATATTATAATTTAGGATCTATGACACTGTTGTCCGAAATAAAAAAAAAATTTTTCAACTTTTTGAAACAAATCAACATACACAGTACCTCTGCGTTGTAAGTAAACCCAAAATTAAAACAGCTCCCCAAAAGTCTACGGTAGAAACGTAAAAAAATCATAGATAGAAAGATACAAAACAACCAATAACACTCCCCCCGTCCCTGTCTTGTTATCAACTTTTCATGCTAACATACCAAAGATATATTGTACAGTTCTACACGTTCGTCTCTATTTGGGAATTCCCGAAACAAATCTAACAATGCACTTAAATATTTAAAAATATCACGGGAAAATCCGATCGCCCTTCTGTTGTTTTATTTCTCTATCAATGGCGGTCTTGGTTTATTATTTTCTTCCTTAACGCTTTATTATGCATTTATTTTAATTTATTGCTATTTCTATTTATTAATTTTAACATGGTTTAATTTTTTTTCAAATAAAATTAAAGATAAGTAACAAAATATAAAGTTAATTTTTTTTCAGCCAATGACTTTGAAATAACTAATTTAATGTAGTAGATTCGTTAGGATCACAATTTTCTTTTGTCAAAAACGTAACAAGCGCGCAGTCCTATACGTAATTATATAACGCAAGTGTTCAATAAATGTTTCTGTGTACTTTTATTTTGTTCTATCAAACGTTAGTGAAATAAAATATTTTTAACTTTGTACGTTTCAAATACATATGGGAAAGATCAGAATGTGTAGTTTGCATGTACTTAAGTTTAATAAACGAAATCACATATCTATTTTATTTTGGCGTAAAAATGCTATAAGTTTAATCGCTCTATGCTGACTTTATGTATGTAGGCGCCCAATGTGTTTTTAAGATAGAGCGCAGTTAATGATTTTCTACACCAAACAGGGTACACATTTTCCTCGAACACATTTTAAGCCACGGTATGACGTAAGATGACATACATGACCTGTGACCTTTGGACCATTCGTGGTCAACACTCTAGGCCAGGATTAAGTAACTGCCTTTCAGCGGCGTAGCTATATCTTTTGGTTAAAGTACATATCTAGGCTTAGCCGTGTATATATATATATATATATATATATATATATATATATATATATATATATATATATATATATATGTATGTTTGTATATACATAAATATACAAATGTGTGTGTATGTATGTATATATTCATAAATATACATATATATATATATATATATATATATATATATATATATATATATATATATATATATATATATATGAATGCATGTATACAACTTGAAGAGAACCAGGCGCGCCGCCCCCCTCCCACCACCCCCCATAGCTACGCCCTTGTCTCTAGGACTATATCTGTGTTCACCAAACGTCAGGGTCGATATGTTATCTGGGTAAAGACATACCATTCATAGATTTTTTTTTCTAATATTTATTTTCTGTCATCGACATATGTTTGTCAAATCCTGCTCGCTCTTTACAAGATTATTAAAAAAAAAATTGTATATTTTTTATGTGTGCTAAATTGAATTTATCGGTTTTGTAAAATAAAATTAAAAAATGCAAACTCGAAAAAAAAAAAAAATTTTCAATATCGAGAGAGCGTGTTTGTGTTAATTAATTATGTACACCATGACCAAAAAAATGTATTGATTTGAAAATTGTAGCTCTATCTACTTTTGTAGCAAAAAAAAATATTTTATGTTGGAATTGTAAATAGTTTTTTTTTTTCTATAATGAAATGATGGGTGAGTTTCTCATCTAGATCCAAACTGGGGCAAAGAAACTAGAAATAAAAGTCATACTACTTGAAGATACTGGTTTGATTCTTATATGTGTTTAAATGTTTGTTTTTGTTGTAATGTTGTGATAGAAGTATATGTTTAGACCACATACTACTTGATACTACTGGTTTTATTCTTATATGTGTTTAAATGTTTGTGTCGTTGTAATGTTGTTATAGAAGTATATGTTTATACCACACACTACTTGATACTACTGGTTTTATTCTTATGTGTATTTAAATGTTTGTGTTGTGGTAATGTTGTGATGGAAGTATATGTTTAGACCACATACTACTTGAAGATACTGGTTTGATTCTTATATGTGTTTAAATGTTTGTGTTGTGGTAATGTTGTGATGGAAGTATATGTTTAGACCACATACTACTTGATACTACTGGTTTTATTCTTATGTGTATTTAAATGTCTGTGTTTTTGTAATGTTGTGATGGAAGTATATGTTTAGACCACATACTTCGACAGATTGCATGCAATATGCTATATGCGACATGCTACTTACTACACATTACATATTACAAAGTAGGCTACAACGTGCACAACCCGTAGTACACAACTGCTCATCACACACTACACACTACATACTACACATTACATAGTACACACATAGCACACATAACACATCCCACATTACTACGTGCACAAGGACACAATACACACTATATTATGTAAGACATTTTAACACATTACACATCAACAACACACAGGAAACACACCACATTGTACACACGAAACCACACATCACAAATGACACATCAAACACCACACGCTACTAAATAAGGTGGATTCAGTAATAACACTCTACAACCACACCGAATCAGTGTCGTTATACCCACCGGAGCTAACAACTATTTTACAAGCATACTTTTAATTCTTTCTAATTACACTACTACTGGTGTTAGTCATTTTTTACTTATCCTACCTCATCTGTCAACATAACGATCATACTTTTACTTATTTCTACTTCTACAAGTGCCAATATTATGATCATGCTTTTTTTCTGCTTATTTTACTACATCTATCAATATTACGATTATACTTTTCTTTCTACTCAGTCGACTTCATCGGTCAACATTAAGAACATACGCTCACTTCTTTCTACTTAGCGCACTACACATGTCAATAATAAGATAATATTTTAAATTATTTCTACTTAGCCTACTACACATGTCAATAATAAGATAATATTTTAAATTATTTCTACTTAGCCTACTACACATGTCAATAATAAGATAATATTTTAAATTATTTCTACTTAGCCTACTACACCTGTCAATATCACGATCATACTTTTACTTCTTTCTGCTTAGCCTAATACACCTGTAAATATTAAGATCAAACTTTTACTTCTTTCTACTAAGCCTTCAACACTTTTCAATATCACGATTATACTTTTACTTCTTTCTACTTAGCCTACTACACCTGTCAAATATTACGATCATACTTGTACTTTTTTTACTTAGCCTTCTTCAACTACCTTCTTATGATCATACTTTTGTTTCTACTTAGCCTACTTCACCTGTCAATATTACGATCATACCTTTACCCCTCGCCTAAGCCTCGCTAGACAGGTGCCATCGATTGAGGCTACACGCCGTTCAAACAAACAGCACGTTCAGACCTCGTTGTGTTCATTTCTACCGCCCCACTTACCCAAACTGGGTCAATGCTAGCTCTAAGTGGGTCAACACTTAACTATTACACTAACTCTGTGTCCACACTAACCTTAACTATGTGCACACTCATTCAAAATGTGTCAACAGTAACTATGTCTACATTAACCCAAAATATGTCCACGGTAACACAAAATATGTCCATATTATTAAAAAATATGTCCACATTAACCAAAATATGTCCACATTAACCAAAATATGTTCACATTTACCCAAAATATGTCTACATTAACCTATAGTATGTCCATGTTAACTCAAAATATGTCCACATAAACCCAAAATATGTCCATATTATTCCAAAATATGTCTACATTAACCCAAAATATGTCCACATTTACCCAAAATATGTCTACATTTACCCAAAATATGTCCACATTTACCCAAAATATGTCTACATTTACCCAAAATATGTCTACATTTACCCAAAATATGTCTACATTTACCCAAAATATGTCTACATTTACCCAAAATATGTCTACATTTACCCAAAATATGTCTACATTTACCCAAAATATGTCTACATTTACCCAAAATATGTCTACTGTTACCCAAAATATGTCTACATTTACCCAAAATATGTCTACATTTACCCAAAATATGTCTACATTTACCCAAAATATGTCTACATTTACCCAAAATATGTCTACATTTACCCAAAATAAGTCTACATTAACCAAAAATATGTTCACATTTACCCAAATATCTTCAAATTACAAACACACTAACCTAAACAAGTCTAAATAAATCTACTATATTGTTTACTCAATAGTAAGCTATTTATAGAACCGGATGTAGAATGGAGCCGATGACAAAGATATTGACTGTATTACAACGGCACACTACTACAAAACATTCCTTAGCTCGCTTATATAAAAAAAACCTTGAGCTGCATTACTTTTAAGTAACCCGAACTAAAATGTTACATGTATTCTTTATTTTTACGGGTAGAATTTGATGGTATTGAATGTTTGTACCGAGCTTTCTTGGCCTTAGTAGGCAGTAAAAAAATCTGGCTAACGGAGCGAATTGTGAGTTCCTTGCAAACACACTGTTACAGTTGTGTTTAAAGGAACTTATCACATTTGTTGAAGACTTTATTCACAGTTATTCACAATCTACAACTATTTTAACAAATAAGTTCATATAAATAAAATAAATATTTGAACTGTTCAACAAAAATTTGAAGAAAAGAATTCAAAAATAATTTTTAAAAAATTTGAACGGTTCAAACGAATATTTAAAAAAAAAATGAAATAGTTCAATAAGGATACAATAAAATTCACAGACATTTTGAAAATGACTTTACATGAATAATGTACTTTACAAATATTTATTTTTTCCCGAAAGGGACGTATTTAAAAAATATATAATTGCACTACAATTATTTGTAGATGACACGTGTTATTCAAACTATCCTCCACCTTTAAATAATTACAATTATAAACACTTTGTACATTGATGTAACCAAAAAATGTGTGATTATTTAAAAAAAAAACAGACACACACACAAATGCAATGACAATAATTGTGATAAGAAGAATGATTTTTTTATGATAACGATAATAATAATAATGTGGGTGTGATTTTTATTTTTAATTAAACAGCTGATTACAGATAACATTATATTTCAATTCATAGAGTCAGCTGCAATGATTTCATTTGAAAAATATTTAATAGGCCCCATGCCGGCTTTTCTTAATTATCACATGCATGATTTAATTAACCAATACAGATATAATTAAGGTAATCAAAAATTCTATTCTAACGGGCAAGTGCCGGTAGAGTTTAAAAAAAAAAAAATAAACGGAAAAGAAGCGAAACAATGAGTAGATAGTTTCAGAAATTCTATTTGATCAGTTTTGTCTTACTTTATTTGACCTGTTTTTCTTCTCTCCCCTTTTCTTTATCGTTCCACCGCATTGAATTTGAAAACAAAAAAATTTACCCGTTAAACGTATCGGTCAATCGGTACGCCGGTCCAAAATTCTAGTATAGAAAAGGCACACGTACAGAGAAAAAAAAACGCTATTCACAGTCGTAGCTAAAACAATAGCACGAACGGCAACTCTGTTTTAAAAACGCCACGTTAAAAATAGATAAATAGCCTCGAGATAGATTTTTTTTTTAAAGACACCTCCTAAAGAAGAGTGGATAATAAAATATTGATACGGGGCACAATCAATCGTACCCGACCGTGAAAGACTTCGATTCTCCAAGTCGACGAGAAGTTTGTCGAGTCTATTGTTATTATCTTCGGGCGTGGTATTATTATTCTACATTTTTAATGAACTCAGTGCAGACGACCAAACCGGATTATATCTGCTTGAGCTGTCGTCTGCCTGTTTGGAGACTAGAGACAAGGCTTACTAGGGGTGGGGGCTATAAATAGTAACGAGGGGTGGATGGTTAAGGAGAATATGTACAACGAAAAAATTTATGACGCAGTTTTTGACAACGATCTGAAGCTAATGCACTTCACAGCATGGCGCCATCTTCTTGCACTGAAAAAAATCAAATTTCGAAAATTTGAAAAGAAATGAAGGTTTCTAGAGTGGGGTTTTAAGACTGATTAGTTTTAAATAAAGAAATACTTCATGCA